CTCCCATGTCCTGCCTCACTCGGGGAGTGATAGAAGGTGAGCTGAGGACTCTCCATGGACAGCTCAGTCAGGGCAGTATTCAGCCAAGACTGGCTCCCCTCTCTCGTGGTTTGTCTAGTAAAGAGTGAAGACCCTAAAGAGTAGATATTCTGTATCACCCTCCTATCCTGAAATAATCAGGAGAGGTGGATTTCCTCAGCACCAAGGGAAGTAGTTTGTGTTTGGAGGAATGAGGCTTGGCTGTACCACTGGCTCCTGGGGAGGTTATCATAGAATCATGAAATACCCTGACTTGGAAGAGACCCACAAGGATCATCAAGTCCAGATCCTAATGGTTATGGGCAAAGTCTTTCACTTCACATCATTGTCAGTAATTTGTCCCTCCAAGAATTGTTCTGCTGGTTTATTGGGTTTTCTTTTCTCCTTGTCATGAGTTGATGGCACCTGTTCTGACCTACAGGATGAGGGAGGAAGCTTTCTGGATAAATCGAAAAAGGATTCATGCAGAAACTCCTTGGTCTGAGCTTATCAGTGGGTGACATTGGAGAACCTGACACAGGTGTTTCTTCTTGTGTCTCTGTTTGCATCTGTTATGGTTTGTGGGGCTGGAGGGAAGGACTGGCCTTGGTTTTGGGCCCCTTTGGGATCTTTTAGCAATGGTAGACAGTCCTGTTGGATCAGTCTGTGGGGACTAGAAACACTTTCTTTTTTACCTAAAATGCTCTCTTTTGGAACACTTTTTTGGTTTTGTATTTTTTCTCAAATTTTTCTTTGTAAATATGTACATTTATCCATTAATAAATGTTATTGCAAATCAGATCTTTCTTTCCACTGCTTATTAACCAAAAAAGCTATATATGACCTGTGTTAATGACCTTCTTGGACTAACACTCAATATTCCTTTCTCAAAGCAGGAGCCATCAGACCCTGAATCATTGCTGATGGCATTCACGGTGTAGGGTCTGCTGGACATTCTTGGGTGTGGGTTGGGTGCTCCTGGGAAGAGGGAGTATGCAAGGATGCAGCTCTAAGATCTCAAACTGACCAGAACAATTTAATTGAGGATTAAATCCAGCTTGGTTTAAGACAGGCTTTGTTTGCAGGAGTCCTCTACCAAATGCTGTTACGCTAACACCTTCTCCCACTTTGCTTTGGAGACTGTGTGGTAGGAAAAATCAATTGCAGGAAGTTGTTCTTCAGAAGCGAGGCAGGTCCTGCACAGCTCATCTACAAGAACCTCTGTCCTACCTGCTGTGTTAGTCTGGGGATAAAAATGCTCCTTTTGGGTTTTTTAAGTGAAGAAACCATATTCCTAATGAACCACTGTTCCTTAGCTTGGTGATACAACACAAGCTTCTGGTGGATTTTTTCTGGTTGAAGCTCAAGTTGTGTTTTAAGGCTGTGTCAAGAGTCAGTTTTAAGTCCAAGTTTTGTAAGATTACAGGAGGGCAGATCTGGCTGCTCGTAATGTTGGTTTCTGAGATGAGCCTGGAACCAAGGCAAAGCTGTAACTTCATTTATGGAATGAATGAAGTGGAATGAGCAGTTGATGGCGTTTATAAACCCTGATTTTATCCCCCCTTTTCACCTGCAGCTGCTGCACTAAGGCAGCTCTTGCAATACCACTGCTTTGTTCTCTGCAGAGGGATTTTGGAATAAAAAGCCCTTCATGCAAGAGTATGTGTGTCATAAAAGAGATGGGAAGGAGACCGGTGGGAGTAGGCAGAGGAATCTTACTGCCCAACAACCTTATTTTGGTAATTGAAGTATTGATCTTGAGGTTGATTCATGTTGCCAAGTCATCAATGCAATGATGGGAGGTGGTTGCTGTGTGTTGTGTAATATATGGGATCCTTGTTCATGACAGAATTTAGTCTTCAGAAGGTTTGAGCACACTGTGTTTTCCAGCATTGCTTTTAATTTTGATCAGAATATCTTGTATCCATTTGTTGTCTGAGTAGGCTGGTCAGGATGTTGTGATCAGATCAATGGCAGTGAAAAAATGCGTTGAAAACCACAAATTCATAGATAATGTCCATGCTTTTCAATGCCAGGGTGTTTTGAACAGCTTCTAAACATTTTTAATTTTTACCTTAAGGCAAAGCAGTTCTGTAAGGCAGTGGTGGGTACTGTAAAATAAGGATCTCTTGTTTTCTGCTTTATAATACTTTTTACCCAAGTGCTTTGCCAGCTATGAGACTGAGCATCAGTTGATCTGGGAGCGCTCTCTGGTGAGTGTGGTTTGCTGCAAAGCAACATCATCTCCTTGTGCATCCCTAGACATTCACTCTGAGCCTGTGAGCTTCTGTGGATCCTTGTTTGGGGATAACCTAATAACAGCGTCAATAATTCCATTGTCATGCTGGGAAAGAACAGGACTGGGAAGTTTTAACCAGCTGGGATTCATAGCATTTCATGTGATGGTTGTAGGGAGTTACTGTGTGCTATAACTTCGTGGTTTTAGCAATTTTTATTAAAGAGTCACTGGCAGTTGACATCATTTTAGAACTCCTTAAGTTTTCTGCAGGATAGTGGTCTGATTTGGGGTGGGAATAATGGAATATTCAACAGAGAGAGACAGCAACATGAAAAAACATCTACTCTGACAGCACAGGGCAACTGGGTCATACAAATAGATCCTGATCCAAAATAGTAGCGTCTTGAAAAAATGCAAGCAAACCAATTTATACAAAACCGAGAAAAGGAAATCCTTTTGGCCACTGGTATCAAACATGAAATGAAGCCTGTTATTAATTTATCCCCAGTCTGAATTATTGTGTATCACTTCATTGCAACGCTTCAACTGTGTCTTCAGGGGCACAAAGATTTGTGTTTCAAGGGTGGTGCTTTAGTTGCATTCATGTCTGGGTCAGTTTATTTCTTCCGGGGCATTGCATCCTGTCCTGTATTTAATTTACTCTGTGTTTGACTGCTTCGTGCTTGTTTTAGGCCTCACTGGTTTGGGGCTGTGTCCCTGGAAATCAGTTGCTGGCAGTCCAGGCACCTCTCAGGTTTCCTGGGTCTCAAGGTGAGCTTGGAACTCTGGAAATCTGAGCCCTAAACATAGGGATGCTTTGGTATTTGCAATTTAAAACAAATCTTGATAAGATCAGAATTTGTAACAGATGCTGAAATTCCTAAGGGGTAGTTTTATATAGATAACTTTATCTAGAAACAAATACCTTCCCATTGTTTATCTTCTTAAAAGTGGAATAGGAAGGCAAGGCAAAAAGTGCTTCTGATCAGTTGATCTTATCAGGATTTCATTCTATCTTTCTAGCTTTCATGTTTGCTGCTGCACTTGGCTCTGCTGGTGACCAGAATATGCACGGCACAGGCTCCATTCCAGCTCTCCTTTCCTTTATGCATCTGTCGTATGAGATGCTTCCAAAATGCAAATTATTTTATCTGTCTGTGAAAGGGAACTGGGAGGTTGTTTTGACTGTATACAGATTTTTGCCTTTTAAATACATCAGTGTTTGTGTAGCTGCCTAATCTTATTTGTTTTATCTGTGATTCTTTCTTGGCTGAGTAGTGTTCCAGCTCTTACATAAGGAAATCTCACTCAAAGGCATGTTCCATTAAACCGCAGAAGATCAGCTGTGTCTTCTCAAGGTCCCATGAAAAATATGCAAGGTTTAGCATCTAGAATTAAGGGAAGGTCAGGATATTGGCAGTATATAAATTCAAGTTTTAAACCAACAAGACATAGCTGTACACAGCTGGTAACCCCATTCATATTCTGTTTTGTGGAATATTGCAGTGTAGAGTCTTGTGTTAGGAAATGAGAATGGGATCTGGATATGATAATCATAGAATATCTTGATGGGGAGGGATCCACAGGGATCATCCAGACCCCCCAGCAATCCCCCCTGTCCATCCCTCGGGGCCGTGCCCATTCCCTGGGAAGCCTGGGCAGTGCCCAGCACCCTCTGGCTGAGGGAAGAACCTTTCCCTCATCTCCAGCCTGAGCCTGCCCTGGCCCAGCTCCAGCCCTTCCCTGGCTGCTGTCCCTGTCCCAGGGAGCAGAGATCGGAGCTGCCCCTCCAGAGGAAGCTGCATACTGCCTTGAGGTCTCCCCTTAAATACACCTTTGGAGAAACATGTGGAAGTGGGTTTGGATCAGAAATAACCTTTCTCTGTGAGCACAGTCTGACGTGCCCATGTCAGTGCTGTTTGCTCTCCCTCCACTCCTATTAAGTGCATTTTGCTAAGCAATATCCCAACAACTTAAGCACAAGAGGCTGGAAATTCTAATAAATAGAAGTCTTACAGCTAGCCTGTCTTCAACATAAAGAAGCAGAGAACTGAAAAATACCCATGAGAAATGGGGGAAGAGTAATTTCTTGAAATTAGACTAAAAAAAGCATCTATTTGTTCCTACATAAAGCAGCTCCTGCTCTTATCCTACCATTGAGCTGAGCCATGAGAGGAGGTCAGTCAAAGTGAAAGCCTCTGGGCTATAAAAAATGAATCATACCAAATAACCCACAGGCTTCAGGCCTCACATTTTAAAAGTGCAAATTACAGTTTTTTTGGTTGCCCAGGGAATCTTGTTAGGAAGTGAGGCAACAGTTTCAAGGAGTTAAAAGCAGAATCAGGAGATGGTTTTCAAGTAGTGGGTGGATTTTGTTGCGCATGGAAGTTTTGGATGTGCACAAGTCCCCACTTGATACACTGAAATTATTCCAAACTGATCAGAGAGTGCTTAGTGGTGTCTTTTCCTCTAGGTGCAGAGAGTTGTTTTCATATTAATTCCTTAAAATTTTGGAGAGTGGATTATTAATGTACCAGGAAGGCTGTGTCAGTAAATGCACTAGGTACAACAGAGAGGTCTTCCAGTGTCCAGCCCCACTGTTGCATGTGTTACTGAAGATGTGATATATGATAAGAACCTGATGTTTTGCCTTGATGCCTTCTGACCTCCTGCTCTCCTTAACTCCCTGCTCTCTTTCTCTCTCTCTCTCCCCGGCCTTTTTTGTGTATCCATTTCTTTTTAGAAAATGAGTGACTTTCTCTCCCAAGAGGATGTGGCTGCAGTGGCAGAGTGGAACAGTTTTAACACTGACTTTGCGTGGGAGGGCTCAAAGCAGTCGGTAGTTTTTAGTGAGACTCCAGTGCCACCCACCTCACAGCCTTCTCCCAGCTGGCACTTTGGTGCTTCCTCCCTAAGCAGCGAGGCGGAGGAGGAGGAGCAGGAGGAGGCGGTTCCCAGCGAGGAGGACCTAACATGTGGAAAGGGGGTTTGTGTGGATGTGGAGAAGGACTCGGAGCTCTCCGAGCCGGAGCCCCGTCCCAGCCCTGCCGCACTTCCCCGGCAGCCCTGGGGAGGAGAGGAGGAGGAGGTGGCAGAGGATGGTGAAGACAGCTTTGCCTTTAGAAAGCCACACGGCAAGTTTCCCAACCCAGCTGCTCCTAACGGGCTGCCGGAGCTCATTCGCTGCTTCCAGGTAGTGAGCCCAGCTCCTGCACCCCCTGCCCTGGCTACTTTTGGAGTGGGACCCCAAACACTGCAGCAAGCAGCGACAGCTCTTCAGAGGACTTGGGTTTGCTTAGCTTGGACTCGTGCTTGGAGCCACTGAATCTCCCGCAGTCAGTGCAATAAGCCTCTCTCAGTTTATCTTTGAATTAAGTACGAGCCACTGTCAATTTGTCTTTGCCTTAAAATATGAGTCCCTCTCAATTTATCTTTGCATGAAATACAATCGCTGCAGTGCAATGCCCTTTGCTCTTCTTGAATTGAAGCATCCTGTGGCGTTGCCATTAAAAGGCAATATTTAGGCTCAAAAAACATGTGATTTTAGCTCCTTAGCTCCTGTGGCTCTGGCTGGACTGGCAGCTGACCCTCAGCACAGCACAGCAAATTTGAGGTGCCATCCAGTGCGTGCCTTTGTGCTCCCCACAGTGGGAGGGATTTTTGCCTGCTCCAGTGTTGATGTTACTTCTGGTTCAATAGATGCCTGTTCCCTCCAGTGATCATGGTGATATCTGGCAGGGTTGGGGATGGTGGCAGACATTGAGCCCTCTGGGAAGGCACTGGCTCTGAATTCACTCTGTCTTCTTCTGGATGATCATCAGGTGGTGGAACAACTGATTTCTCTCCATCCTTACTTTTCTTTCTCTTTTATCTGACATTGATTTAATAAAAGTTAAAGATGTCATGAGGATTTTTAATAACACAGTGTTGCTCTTGAGGCCAGGATAAGGCTGCTCAACTGTGATCAAGTCTTTGTGTGCCCAGGGTTGGCATTAATCTGACACTGGCATCAGTAGATGAAGGTCATCTTCTGGCAACTGGCAATGAGCTTCTGGTAATTAGAAAGTTAAGAATCAGTGGAGATAGCGTCTGCAGTGTTGTGACACACTCGTTAAACCTTTAATGCCTGGTTTGGGCTGACCGGAGTCCACGGTGTGGGGAGGGGCTGGACGATTTTGCTGCCTGTCTAATCCTCATGCCTGATGTCTGCCCTTGGAACAGTGTGTCGTTCCAGAGACTTAAACCCAAAGATTTCTAGGCTGACCTTGGTTCCCACAGTGCTTTTATCAGATCAGTGTCAGAACACTTGCCAGCAGCCCAGTCAGGATGTGGAGATGGTAACTGGGTGTTTACAAGATGTTTTTAACCCTGTCTCACAGCCCCCACTAGTGAAGACACAGACTGTCACCATCTCTGACATGTCCAGCGCCGTCAAAAGTGAAATTCCCACAAAAGAGGTCCCTATTGTCCACACAGAGACAAAGACCATCACGTACGAAGCTGCACAGGTAAGGTGTGTTCTGATAACTTTCCTAGGGGGTTAATTAAATGCAAGTAAATGTATTGTTTGCAAATCCTCAGGGTGAAACAGCAGCACCTGCCTGTCTCTGCACATCTGAGTGCAGCACAGGCATTAACTGATGCTGTGGACACTATTTCCAGCTGCATCTGGTATTTTAAGAGGAGCAGTGGTTTTGCTGTCCCTGAAGAGTAATTATTTTTTCAAGATGTGCTTGCAAACAGAATTTATCTTCAGCTACTGGTGGCTTCAGGATGTGGATCTCTCTGTACAAAGTTAACCTGAGTTGGCCTTTCTTCTGCAATAGCTGCCTTGTCTTGTTTTCCCAGCTTCTCCAAAGAGGCTGTTTATGCCTCTTCAGAACTTGGTTTATAAATTACTTGGTCATCCTTAGGTTTCAAGACTGAAATGGTTGTTAAAACACCACATTTTTGTATGAAATGCAACCTCAGTGGGCATGTGGTGACTGGGAAGTGAAAATCTTAGTGGAGCAGTGTTATGAAGCAGAGGATATGCAGGTATGGATTCATTGCTGAGGTTAAAATTAATCCTCAGTCTAAAACAGGTTTTAATCACAGCATCACAGGATGGTTTTGGATGGAAGGAACCTAACACTTCACCCAGTTCTAGCCCCCTGCTGTGGGCAGGGACACCTTCCACTATCCTAGACTGCTCCAAGCCCCATCCAACCTTAGACACTGCCATGCAAGGATCCAGGGGCAGCCACAGCTTCTCTGAGCAACCTGTGCCAGGGCCTCCCCACCCTGCCAGGGAACAATTCCTTCCTAAGATCCCATCCAGCCCTGCTCTCTGGCAGTGGAAGCCATTCCCTGTGTCTTGTCCCTCCATCCCTCGTCCCCAGTTCCTCTCCAGGTCTCCTGGAACCCCTTTATGCCCTGAAAGGGGTCTAAGGTCCCCCCGAGCCTTCTCTTCTCCAGGCTGAATACCCCCATCCCTCCCGGCCTTTCTTTATGTATTTGAGATTTTGGAGCCTGTGTCAGCTTGGCTTTGCCATCACTTTGGCTGTCAGCAGCAGCACGTGCTCTGCTGTTGCAGTGAAGTGACTGTGGGATGTTGTTATGGATGCAGGAATCTCATGATTCATAAGGAATGCTGTGGCTGCTCAGCATCCTCCCAACTGCAGCATCAGATAAATCATTCAGACAATGGTGGTGAGCATTGCCCTGGCTTTCAGCAAGTGTGTAGGTGAATAGAGGAGTTTTGCTCTAACTGGTAAATGGGAAGGAAAAATGATCTCCAGGATGGCCATGTATGCACAGGGTGTGATGTGCCATGAGATCTCTTCCAGACTGTGGAAAATGGTCCCACCTTGTGGTAATTCCAGATACTGTCCCAGTGCTGAGTGAGGTCGCTGCCCAGTGGGGACATGGATAGCGCAGCCAGGATGAGCTGGTCAGGATGACTTAGTTTGAGATTTTTGGCAGACCTTGAGTGGTCAAGTCAGACAGGATGAGATCCAAGAACCAGCTCTAAAAGTTATTCCTGTTTCAGCAAACATCTGGATGTTCTTTGCTTCTGCAGAGCATAAAGTGAGGGATGTGCAAGGTGTTGTCAGGAGGGAGGAAGGGTGACAAGTACCTTCTGAATCAGATTGTGCTCTTGGCTTTGTTGATATCCACGGATGCAGGCAGGTGGAATTTGGGATTGGTGTCTCTGTTGGTCTCCTGTCATGGTTCAGGCGTGGATGGTATGACCAGCACTGCGGGGCCAGCAGCATGCTCAGATTTGGGTACATCCCAGCCCTCCCAGTCTGAGGGGTGTCACAGGTCCTCCCTGAAGGATCTGTGCTTTTCCAGCCTTAAAGCACAGGGACTTTGAGCTTTCAGAGACCTGCCCAGCTCTTGTGCACCTGGGCACAGGTTGACTTATGTCTTGTGGTCCACGATGGAGCTGCTGTCCTCAGTGTCCTCTGTCTGGCTCTGCTGATGTGGAGCCCCTTCTTCTGTCCCCACTGCTCAGGGACTGATGGCCTGTTCTTGTATCCCACAGACAGATGGTGGCAATGGGGATTTAGACCCTGGCATCCTGCTCACTGCCCAGACCATCACTTCAGAAACCACCAGCAGCACCACCACCACCCAGATCACCAAGGTAACACCAGGGACCACCACAAAACACTGATTCAAACTACAGAGATGGCGAGATAGGCAGAGATGAATGAGAGGAAAAAGAAGTTTTTGGAAGGTCCTTTCAAATACATGATTAGTACCTGGAGCAAAGCACGAGGGGTTCAGTTTTGCCAGTGTTAAATCTTTGGATTATGCATTAATTGCAGCAGTCTTGACACCGACTCTGGCTGTCTGTGGGACAGCAGGAAGAGCTGTACTCTGAGGAAAAGCTCTTCCCTGGTTCAGCTATAAAAAATAACTCTTCTGACAGTTTTTCCTTGAGCAGCAGCAGTTTCCCCTGTGACTCTAATGCTAGGTACAGCAGTGCTAGTTGGTGACACTATTTTTGGGTGCCATCTTTAGACAGGCAGCCCCAGTGAGCTCAAAATCCTCTGTACTCTGCACTAACAACAGCTTTTCCTTCTGTTCTAGACTGTGAAAGGTGGCATTTCAGAGACACGGATTGAGAAGAGAATTGTTATCACAGGAGATGCAGATGTAGACCATGACCAGGTAGGAGTGTGGCTATGATCCAAAAGAGTTTCCCAGAGCTGGCAAAAATCAGTCAGGCTGCCTGTTAAAAGACAGTGTGGCCAAAAAATGACCCAGGGAAATTTTACTGGGGTAGAGAAAAAACTTAATATTTTTATAAGTTGTGGCTGCACCATCCCTGTAAATGTTCTAGGCCAGGTTGGACAAGGCTTAAAGCAACCTGGTCTAGTGGCAGGTGTCCCTGCCCATGGCAGGGGTGGAATGCGATGAGGTTTTACGTCCGTTTCCAACCAAGCCATTCTATGATTCTATATCAGTAATAAATTCCTTTTTGACATTATGCAGCTGAACCAGGAAAGCTGACTTCTATTCTGAAACTGATGTTGGCAGCAAAGTTTTGATTCCAGAATTGTTTTGGACAGTTGTAGGCTTTTTTAAAAAATCCATAAAAACGTGAAATAAAAGTTTTCCTTGACATCTGGCTGATCTGCATTCATTTTTCCATAACTTTGAAGCACTATTGCTACTCTATAGTGCCAGAAGTCATTACATCTCTTTAGCTTTATATGAAACCTTTCTCATGACTCAGCCTCATTGGCCTCTTGCGTGTGTTGGAAGTGATGATTTTGTCATCAGATAATTTTACTTTGAATTTAAATTTAGTCACAAGTATCATGGGGGTGGAAAATATTCTTATGACAAGATCTAGTTTATTAACTCCAACAAAAAATGTCTGAGATGTCTGAAATGTGCCTATCATACTTGCTGGAAGAATAACCAGGTTATGCTTAATTGCTCTCATCCATCTTCTGCCATGGGACATGGAGAGATGGGGTGTATTCTTCAAATAGGGCTTTTTCTTTCAGAGATAATGTAATAGCACCAAAAGTCACCAAAGTGTGTGGCTGAAGTCCTGGGGGCAGTGTTTGGCACTACAGTTTAAGACCTAAAACAATTAGAGAGATTACATAGGAGGCTATGGACACGGTGAAGGGTCGGGAGGAGCCATTCAGGGAGTGGCTGAGGGCAGTGGGTGTGTTCAGCTGGAGCAGAGGACACGGAGGGCAGAGCTCAGGGATCTGCAGCTCCTCCTGAGGGGCAGCCCCGATCTCTGCTCCCTGTGATAGAGGAGGTTTAGGCTGGAGATCAGGGCAAGGCTCTTCCCTCAGCCAGAGGGTGCTGGGTGCTGGGCACTGCCCAGGTTCCCAGGGAATGGGCACGGCCCCGAGGCTGCCAGAGCTCCAGGGATGAACAGGGGGGATTGTTGGATCTGGGCAGGGACAGGGGCTGGACTGGACTGGACTGGATGATCCCTGTGGGTTCCTTCCAACTTGGAATCTTCTGTAATTCTATCAAATGCATCCACTTTTCTTTTTTACACCTTGGAGTTACTTGTGCCCTTTGGGGACGGTGGGTGCCATGCTCTGATACACTCTGACATGCTCTAACCCGTGCTCTCCCATGCTGTCCCGCAGGTCCTGGCACAGGCAATCAAGGCTGCCAAGGAGCAGCACCCAGACATGTCGGTCACCAAAGTGGTTGTGCACCAGGAGACAGAGATCGCAGAGGAATAGCCTGGCTGTGTGAGTAGAGAGACCACCTCAGGTGGGGGTAGGAGCTGACTGATCTCTGTGCACAGGAGATTTGGGTAAATAGGGTCAGAGTTGAAGTAAAATCATTGTTCTCTGCTGAGTCCTGCTCAGGCTGTTCCTGTTAGATCCACGGAGGCTGATGAGGCAGTCACAGACAGACTAATCCTGTGGAAATGAGCCCAAATGGGTTAAAAGCTACACAGCTCCTTCCACGAGGCTACTTTGCCTTCCCAAACATCCGTGATGTGCTGGGAGCACACGGAGCAGCTGTAGGTGCAACATTTAGCTGTAGGTGCCCTGCCTAGGTCAGTGCCTAGTAACCCCCGAGCTGGACCCCAAGCTTGCCTGGAAATCCCATTTTCTGCATTTTTTATGAGTTTGGGAAGAAGCTGCTAAAGGAATCCAGGAGCTCTGTCTGTGCCTCAGTGCTTTAAAGCCCATCCTGCCCCATGCCACAGATCACAGAATCCTGGAACGGTTTGGGTTGGATGGGACTATAAAGCTCATCCAGTCCCACTCCTGCCATGGGCAGGGACACTTTCCACTAACCCAGCTTGTTCCAAGCCCTGTCCAACCTGGCCTTGGACACTTCCAGGGTTCCAGGGGCAGCCACAGCACCTCTGAGCACCCTGTGCCCGGGTCTCATCACCCTCAGAGGGAACAATTCCTACCCAATATCCCATCCAACCCTGCCCTCTGGCATTCTTGTCCTGTTGCTCTAGGCCTTGTGCAAAAGTCCCTCTCCAGCTTTCCTGGAGCCCCTTTAGGCACTTTTCACCTGCCATTCGTGGTAACTCCCCTGAATTCAGTTCCCATCCACTTCAGGGAGGCAGATTCCTGTCTCTTCCTGCATGCTGCTGCTGGTAGCTGTAACTTATCCTCTTCCTGTCTTGCTAGGAAATGTTCCTGCCTGCGACAACACCAGGAAAAAGAAACCCAGCAAAACTACCAAGAAACTACCTGGAGCACAAAGACCTCGGATTTCAGACTTGACGCTCAGAGACATTCATATCATTTATTAAGAGTTGCGCTTTGACATTTTACTTGGGATTTTTCCAGACTCCACTGGCTCCTATTGGACACAGGGTTTTGTTTTGTTGTTAGGTTGTTTTTTTTATTTTGTATCTATTGTGACAGAAATATGCCATATTTCTAACTGTACTGAATATTTTTTACAGGTTTTCAATTTCGCATTCCTTCTCATGCAAAGCCCTTTCAGACACAGAATCCCACCTTGCAGGGCTCCAGGGCTCCCTATTTTAACTCGTGTTCCCTCCACCTCGTCAGGGAAAACAGAGCTGGATCTGTGCATATTCCCAGTGCAGATCCGTACACGCCTTCACAAAGCCATGGGTCCTTCTTCCAGGAGAGTCACTTTAAAGAGTTGGACTTTGTGCAGCATTTCCGATTGCTTCTGGATTATTTTTGTAGCTCTGGGGAGCTCCAGCCCCACTGCAACCCCTGGGCTGCTCCAAGCTCCCTCCCCTCTGGGTTCCAGCCCTGACGTGTGATCACAGTAGGGTTTTGTGGTGTAACCTATGCACACATCTGAATAGTTGACTAGATTTAAGGAATACTGGAAGTTGCTTCAAATATCTTATACTGTGAATTTTAGAGCTTTAAGAGGACTGTGATAGCATCTCACCTTCTTCCCGTGTGTATCTGCCGAGTGCTCCCCACCTGTTTGTGTTTTCTAGATGCCATTAAATTAAAAAGCCCTTAGAAGCGTGTGTTTAAGGTGTTTGGACTCGGGATGCTATTAAGGTAGGCTTGTGCAGCATTCACAGGAACTGAGCTTTTTGGTGTCATAGTTTTTCACTTGTTTGTGTTCATAGTTTTTAAATTAGGGAGGGGTTTTTCTTTTGTAAGTCATGGGTTAGGTTTTTTCCCTCCCCTCACAATGCTATTTAAAGCTGAACATGTTATCCATTTCCCAGAGCATGTATCCCACTATCATTTAAACTCGTTTAGACAATCCTTCCTAGGCCTACAAGCTGTATTTGGAGAGGCTGAAAAAGGAATTTTAGGAGGTGTCAGGTGTTGCTGGTTGTGATAGATCCAAACCACATGGGAAGTGTTGACATTCCCTCTTCCATGCTAGCCTGAAGGTCTGGATTTGGCTTCATGACACCCTTGCTGGAATGAAATATCAGAGTGATTGTCTGAATCTTGAGGCTGAACTTACAGACCCCCCAGGGCCATCTCCAGCACTGAGGGGATGATGCAAAAACATGATTTCAAGGGCTGGATGTGCTCCCACTGCTCTCTCAGCATCGTGGGAATGTTCCTGCTTGGTTTGTCTTTCCACCATTTAAATTCAAGATTCAAGAAGCAAAAAACTAACCAAGCTGTGTAAAGAGTCTGCCCAGACATTTGTGATCACTTTAGTCCACTTGAGGTTGTGATTTTATTTTTTTTTTTCATGTATAAATATACATATAATATAGTGTGGCACAGTGGTAGCTGAGGGCAGGGAGTGCTCTGCTCCTCAGGTGAGGATGGGAAGAAAATGGCAATAAAGAAAAAAATTCTCTAGTTTTAAATTTGAATAATGTATTTCAGAAGTCACTGGATTTAGCTCAGGCTGCAATAACTCCACTGTTTAGCTGCAAACAGCTCTGGAACTACACTGGGGCTGGTGCAACTTCTCAGCTTCAGGTGCAATTTTAATTAAGCTGTCAGTATTGATTGGAGACTCTGCTGGAGCCTGCTGGATTTTGGCTCTCTTTGAGCCTTGCTGCCCTGGGTCCTGCTCAGCCTTCCCGTGCCAGCAGCTGCCTCTGGGCTGCTCTGGTGCAGGGTCCCCTCCTGGGATGCTCTGCCTTCCTCAGGGCATCATGCTCTGGGGGTTTAGGGAGTCCTGGGCCATAGTGCAGAGACTGAGTCTTCCTATCCATGTCTGAAAAGCCCTTTCCTTCCTTATTCTGCCACGCAGGCCCTGGAAGGGGTCTGTGTCTCTGCTGTCCTCAGCTTAGTCGGGTAATGCTTGCCTTAAACCCCCATTGTGCTGAGCACCCTCTGGCACTTTCCTTTTTCTGGGAATTGAGTTCTTTGCCACTCAGTCCTTTCTTCTCATTTGCAACAGCCACCTGAGGAGTGGAGGGGCACGTGGAGCAGTGGCTGAGAGGATTTCTGGGCTTTACCAGGCAGAGCCGCCGTCACAAATTCAGTTTGTCCGTAGCACTTAAAGGCACTTGGCTGTCAGGAGAATTTAGGGGAATGTGGTCCCTGTGTGTTCCCCGTGGGGTGTCCCTTGCCCTGAGCACGATGAATGGGACAAAACACCCCAAGCAGGAGATTTCTGGGTTGAGAAACCTGCTGCCAGGAAGGGTGGCTCCTTTCCAAAAGATTTGCTCACTTTGGCTGCAGATGTCCCTTGTTAAAGGGCCCATAGACTAGAGTAACCCTGTTTTTCTTTTCTCCTGGATTTTGGGTGGCTGTTTCCAAGTTGTCCATTTTCACACTTGCCCCTGCTGAGTTCTTGCTTCTCCTGGAGAAATTTAAACAAGTCGTGGCCTCGTCTGCCCTTTGCCATCACCTGCTGTCTGACCTCAGGGGTTTCCAGCCCCACTCCTGCCAATACGGTGCCCGAGTCAGGAGCTGGACAGGAGCCTGGGACGAAGATGAAAGTTAAAAGCAGAAGAAGCTTCTCTCACCCTCAGCCAAGGCCGTGGTGGGGCTGCTCACTCCCCTTCCACTTCTGGTGGGATTTAAAATCCTTGGCTCTGAGCGTGCTGTGTCAGCTCAAGGGAGAAACCAGCTAAGTAAGGTCTATTTATATGAATGTTCCCAGCTCTTCCCACTCCACAAATTCACCCAGAGACTGTCTTGATTGTATAATATACATTATATGGAAGCTATTTATATACGAATGAATGTTTTTATAGAAAGGAAAGCAAGGAGCTCCTGTTCTCCTCCATTAAACTGGAATGGCTGCTCTGGTTGCCCAGTAGCAATCCCTGACCAAGAGATGTGTTAGCAGAGGACTGACTGATTTCTGGTTTTAATAAACTGTGGTTTGCTGATTTTCCTAATTGTACAATTACCTTAAGAGGTAGTAGTGCCCCAGCCTTAGAGATGAAACTTGTAAAAAACTAAAAAAAATACTTTAGTTGAGAAGATGAAGGAGCTTTGTAAAAATTTTTTAAGGTGATTGTGAATTGTCTAGTTTAGGCGTTTACACTTTATAAAAATAGGAACTCCTAAAGTTGGCAAAACTTTATCAACTAGTGATGAGAGCTGTTATTTTGGATTTTCATAGTGAATCAAAGGGAAAGCCGTAGTGTTTAGGCAGACCTAAGTGTTCAGTACTGCTTCTTGTATTGCATTTTTCAATAAATTTTCAAACATAACTCTCTCCCTGAAACTGAATCCTCTTCCTTCTTCTCACCTTCCTCCAGGTCTCTCTCCTTAGCCTGGGTTTTGTGGTGACTTGGTTTTACCAGCCTAAACCAAAGCCCCCAAATGTAATTACGATGATGCCAAAGCTCTCCTAGTCCTGTGCCTTGGGTGCATTTCCCTGGGCTTTTGGTGCCTTCAGACCCTTTAAACAGTTCCCAGTGTGGTCACATGTGGGACCAAAGCCCCCAAAACGGCCAGAAGCAATTCCCAGAGTTCAAGTTTGCCCCAAAGAAGCATCACTTGATATAAAACCTTCCTTTGAAGTTGTGGAATTTGTGGTGAAGCCAGGTGAGGTCTGTGCTCGGCAGCTGCTCCCTAAAGTGAGTGTGACTCAAGTCGGGGGAAATGTCAAATCCATCGTTACTTTGGTCCTATCTCATTGTTTTTCTGGCTGCAGAAGCTTTAGGTGGGACAGAAATAGGGACAAAAAGCGGACAGGGCATTTTGGCTGCAGGCCTAACAGTGAACAAGAGCCAGATGGCCCAGTTAGGGCAACTGGAGACTGGGATTTGGCTGGAAAGAGCTTCCCTGGGGGCAGGAGCAGCCCAGGGGCTGACTGTGGTACCTCCCTGTGCCTCAGTTTCCCCTAATAGAGAAGGGTGACACGTGGCATGTCATGCTAAAAGCTCTTAATTTCTATTCCTCCAGACACAGCCATCACCTCTTCCACCCTGACCCTGGACCGTTTGCTTCCAAGTACTAAATCTCAGTGTCTTGTAAAGCCAAAATTACCAAGGAGCCTCAGAAACTGACCCTGGAGAGTTGGGAAACTGCCACCACGGGAGCTGCTTTCCCGTAAGTGTCACAGCAGCGTGACTCACACCCAGCTCTGCAGCAGAGCCGTGCCCGTTATCTCCCAGGCTCCTGCCCTCCCCAGATCCGGCAGAGTCATGCCAAAAACAGCCCTGTTCTGGGGGGTTGGGGCTTGGGGAGGTCCCAGACACTGCACTGGTGTCATGGCTGGGTATGAACTGCAGCCCCAAGAACATTGCATCTGGGGACAACCAACCAAGGAATGGCCTTTGCTCCACTGCACTCTGCGGTGCCACTCCCTTGCTCAGTGGCCAAGACACCATCACCTGCTCCCACTCTTGGCCCTATTGAACATAACCTGGGGAGCAGCTCCAAGCTCTGTCAGACTCCCGTGGGTCCCAGTCTGTCCCACAGCTATCAGCTCCAACAACAATAGGGGATTGTGCACCAGCAGCCTTGGGATTCCCACAGGGAGGAGACAGGGCTGATGGTTCTCAAGGACACGTCCCTGTCCTGAACACACTGCAGGGACATCACTGGCACCAGGGATCTGGTCCCACATTGCCCATTCACCAAAACCATGGTGTGTTGCTGGGCAGGAGTGCTGCCATCACTACTGAAGGGACACCCCAGCACAGGGGACACTGGAACCCCATCCAAAATGCCCAGGGGAAAAGTGTCCTCACCTCATTGCCCTAGGGTACAAGGGCAGGAACAGCAAACACCCACTTTGATGCTCAACATTGTCTGGGGCCATCCCAGGAGTTTGGAAAGACTTTTCCTTAAAGCGTCCCCAACTCCAGCCCCTCTGGGTGGGTGTCCCAAGCCCAGGGTGCCTTTATACACCTCAGAGCCAGAGTAGGAGGGGGTGTGGTAATGTTGCGTTTTGCGTGGCTACAAGCAAGGGAAAATGTTAGGCAAACAAACGCCATGGCAATCCAGATGCAAGTAAATAAAAACCCAACCCCCTGTCCCGGCCGCACAAGAGGCAGCAGCTTCTGGCAGGCTGAGTCTGCCCTCCTGGGTGGTCCCACACCGCCCCAGCCCCCAGATCCCACACCAAAGCCATTTTTGTGGCTTCCCTTCATCACCCATCCGTGGTGTTTCCCCATGTCTCCATCCCCAAACTCAACCCCAGAACTGGAGGGGCAGGCATCACACCAGGAGGAGAAAGTTCCCATTCAGTCTCCAGCTTGTTCCAGCCCAGACTATTTTTAGGCTGTTCCTCCCCTTTTTGGGGCTCAGCAGCCAGTCATGTTCCTGGAGGATGAGGGCTGCTCTCAGGGCTCCAGGGGGAATTGCTGTGGAAGCCGAGCAGCAGTGGTGTGACTCCATCACTTCCAGCTGGGAGAGCCCGGGGTTGTTCATCCCAGGGTCTGAGATAAACAGGGTTGCAAGGTTGAAAGGGGTGAATTTTGTTGGCAGTAGGCCAGACTGGACATGCTGAGCTCAGTTCTGAGCTCAATCACTGGGGAAACTGAGGCACAAAAAAAAAGCTAAAACCAGGTGGGGAATTACCTCAGGTCCTGTAGCAGCTGGGTCAACGGCCTTGGATTCATCCCTGCTCCATCTCCAACTATCCAGGGAAGCACTACTGCAGACACGTGCAGATCCACAGGCATCTTTTGCTTTTTGCCCCCAGCATGGGCAGTGGTCCCTGATGGGCTCCAAGCCAAAACCCCAGAGATTTGGGCTCCAGCCCCATGCCAGCACCCAGCTGTCAGGACACATCACATGGATGCTGACAACACTGAGGGAACTCTGGCTTTTGACCCAGGACCAGCCCCAGGGGGAACCATCCCACATTGCTCAGCCCATTTCTCTAGTAGAATTAATGTGCAGAGCCTTGGGTGCCAGGGAACCTATACAGGACACCCCCAACTCTCCCCCCCCAAAAAATAAAAAATAATTAAGCAACTACTCCCAAACCCACCCCAGCTCCAGCCCCATTCCAGCTTCCTTGGCTACCGGGAAGCACTAGGAGGGGTGCCTTTGGCTCTGTGCTGGCTCATTAATGCAGAGAAGTATTTTTATATCTCACTCTTGCCTTTTTTTTTTAAAAAATAAAGTAACAGAAATCAGCCCCTGCCAAAAGGGTGCAGGGTGTTCCAGACCCGGGGAGCACACCCGCACCCATCACACCGCTCCTCTTCAGCCATGGAGAAAAGCCACACTCACCCAGTGCAGGGCACCTCCCCGACACCTCGAAAAGAGATTTCTGGCCGGGATCACCCCTGGCTATACCGCAAGTGCGCGCTGGGAGCGGAGCCCTCGCCTTCCCACACACCTTAAATCTTAAGGAAGGGCTCTCCGGCCAAGCAGATTCATGGCTGTGACCTGCCCCAGTGCGGGGAGAGGAGGAGGAGGTGCAGGAAGAAGAGAAGAAAGAGCTGCAAACCAGCCAGCAGGATCAGGAGTGATTGTCCCCAGCTCTGGTTGTGCTCCCTGGGAACAGAGGTGTCCCAGCAGCAAATCTGGAGACTCGCTGGCACTACTGGGGTGTCCCCGGGCATGAGAGACCCTCTTACAGCCACCGGCAGGGTCTGCACCTCCCCAGGGCACATCTCCCACACCCATGTCCCTGCGGTAGTGGTTCCCTCAATCAATTTTCCACATTTGATCCATTTTTGCCCCAAAGTAAGCTGTCCTGTAGCCATGCATCAGCTGAGTGAGAGGTCACTTGGTGGTGGGGGATAACTGCAATTGCCCTTGGTCTCTCCAGCCTCCATCCTCTGGTCCAAGGGACCCCGGGGGTCCTTGTCAGCCTGGACACGCTGGTATTGGGGACAATGCCCCAATTTTCTTAGCTGGTGTTCTTGATGAAATCCCCCTTCCGTTGGTAGGAATCTCCTCCTGCAGTGGCCACCTCCTGGGGAGGGATACGCTGGAGGGTGACAGCAGCTGGATATTTAGTCCATAGTCTATCCAGCCTGTTCCTGAGCAGGACAGAAGGTACCACCAAGCACTACCCTTCACAGGCAGTGCAGTGTGAGATCTCCAGAGCTTCCAGGATTGTTCCACTTCACAGCCAAGCAGACAATGGAGGGATCCATCCACGGTGTGTTATTTTTATTTTCTCTTTTCTGTTTCTAACCCAGCCTCATCCCTACCCAGTTCAATCCCAGACACTATGAGGACAGCATACAAGGCATCCATCCACTGAAACCAGCACTGCTAAAATCACACAAATACTCTGGGAACAGTGTCCACAGGTGGAGCTGAAGGTGAGGGATGCACAGATGCTGCTCTTTCTGGAGAAGGCACAGGGCTTCTCACCCTGCCAGATGAATTAATCAAGCTGCTTTGCATTTTGAAATAATCCCTATGTGACTCAGAAATGCCTCCCCTGGAGGACGCTGCTGAGCTGGGAAGGAGGATGGGGCAGGAGGACAATGCTGGTGGCAGGCATATGGTTCAGGCAGGTTCCCCTGTGATCCAGCCATTTCCCATGGTTAGACTGAGCCTCAGCCAGAAAATGAATGGGAAAAATTAAAACAAAGGCCCCCAGTAGCTTCTCTTGCAGCTCCCTGTGGCATTTTGGACTCCAATTTCTTGCTCCCAGTTCCCAAAGCATGGCCCAGGGCCTGGCTTCAGCTCTGGCTACAGCTGGTTAAGCCCAAGTAAAAAGTTGGTTTTGGACAAAAAACAAGCTTCTGGCACTTCCCCTGGGATGCTGCTCCCAGGCAGACCCCGATGATGATTTTTTCTTGTTGCTGTTTTTGTATTGAATCAGTGCCTAAATAACGTTGAGATTAAGCAGCCAAATAAATAGCTGAGCTTGGGCTGGTATCACTCCCAGAGAATCCTTTGGGATGCAACTGGCCCCCAACCACAGCTGTTGGTCCCAGCGCTGTTCCCTCCACTGGGGGAAGCTGTACCCAAGCTGTCTGGGAGGGCTGGCATTGTAAACAGAGACGGCTTTCCCCTGTAAAGCAGAACCTCCCCCTCCCCCCCAAAACACTGTGGGGCATTGCTTTTTAGAAGAGGGGGCCGGCGTAGAAAAGGCAATTTCCCAGTGTTTTTGCTGAGATGCTGTTCCCAAAGTTTGCAAGGTCTGGCACTCTGTGTTCACTTCAGACCAGAGAGGGAGAAGCAGAAACAGGAATAAATCACCCCCCAAACATTTCATACAGATAAAAGAGATATCAGCCATCCCAAAAGGCCCTGATTTTGGGAAGGCAAAAGGCAAAGATTCCACCTAGGCTGCCACAGCCATTTTGAAGCCTCCTGAGTTGCTGGAAAGCAGAGCTGTCTTAATCCTATTGCTCCAATCTATCCTTCTACAGCTCTTGGCATCCCAGGGCTCCTCCAGCCCAAGAGAGAGCTGGAGGGAGTAAGAAGGAATGGGATGAACTCCCAGCTCCCTTTTCTCCAGGAATCCACCCCAGTGCCAAGCTGTCTCTCTGGCCTCATCCCACACAGCTCTGGTTCTGCATCCAATGGGCACAAAGTACCAGAATGGCACCAAACAGGCCTCACAAAACCATCACCAAGACTCCCCCTCTGCCCCTTCACATCCTTCCTCCCACCTGCATCCTTCATCCCACCAAAAACCAGCACAAACAAACCCAGATCCACAGAGAGGCTCTTGGAATTGCTGCACCCCAGGTGGGCAGCAGCACCTTGCTGCCCGCCAGCAAGTGCTCTGGGCACCTTTTACATCCCTTCTCTCCATAAAAACCCCAAACCCCAAACCTTGCACTTATCACCTCATCCTGCGAATGCTGAGCAGCTGATTCTGGAGCATCCCTTCTCCAGTGGAGCCTGAGTGGGGGCACAAGGTCTCACAGACCCTCTGGATCGACTGCCACACATGCTTCCCCTCCCAATCATCCCACAGGCAATAGGAGGAGGCAAGGTAGGACCACATGGCATCCAGATAATATTTAATAGCCCCATTGGACCTACGTGCTCTGGCAAAGCAAATTTTCTGGTGGGTTGAGGCTGGACAAGGGGACACCACCCCTCAAAGCATCTTCCCACCCCAACCTTACTGAAATAAAGTGCTGTGGGGGCTGGTGGGGCTTCACCTGCCCCCATGCCTCCACCCCACAATTTGTGTGGGGTCTCAAAGCGAGGACTCCTCTGGAAAAGCCACCAGGAGAAGGGCTTGTAAGGCCAAGGGCATCTACTGGGAAGGACATCTCACCCTAGGCGAGTCCTCCCCCAGGAGCGGAGGATCAGGACCTTCCTCTTGGCATTGGCTTAAAAATGCTGCCCCCAAACCCCTCCTGCATGTGGGGTTTTGGGGTCGCTGGTGGGTACAGGGGCCCAGGATGAGGGACTGGGATGTTACAGTCCCCAAAGGTGTAGGGGACATCAGACCTGTGTGCCCTGCTCCACCCCCACCACCCAGGAGCTGGGTCGGGGCTCACCCTGGCTTGGGGGCTCACTGGGCTCCAGCAGCTGGTCCAAGGACTCGCCAGTACTTTCCAGTTTGGCGTAGCCCACAAGGCTGACATGGTCCAGCCGAGGCCAGCTCCGGTTCTTACGGTCCTTGATGGGGGCCAGCAGCAGCAGCCCTGGCCGGCCAAGGTCCAGGGATTTGGAGTGTCCTGGGGTGTGGGGGTGCACATCAGGGCTGAGCTCCACCAGCGGCTCCGCACTGGGACAGCTGTCATCCATGGTGATGATAACGTGGCCACCATCAGCACCACCATCATCCTGGCTGCAGGGCGCCATGCTGTCACCAATGGAAAGCGGAGCCCGGGCGAGCTGTGGTGTTTTGGGGGAATGCTCAGCAGGGCCTCTCCCCACCCCCCCGCCAGCCCCCCGCGCTGCCCCGTCCAGCAAGCAGTTGTTGAGCTTGATGATGGGCAGTGCCAGGGCCCCCACGGCCGAGGACAGGAGGGACTCGGCTCCAGCGCGGCACGGGAGGCTCAGGTTGACCTCAGTGGAGCGGAGGCTGTGGAGGGAGGCTGCAGGGGAGGCTGCTGGGTGCTGCAGGAACTCGGCCATGGTCTGGAGCCGGTTGGGGCCGTAGCAGTCAGACCACTTGCTGCTGGGGCCGGGGCAGGGCTGGCAGGACAGGTCCACCTGGTAACAGCCCTCCACACACTCAGCATTGGCCTTGGGGAAGGGCTGGCTGTCCCCACGCTGGTAGTGCCCATCCTCAGGGCTGGTCCCCTCAGGCAGCCCCACTGTCAGGCCGTAGAGCCCCTTCTGCATCAGCCACCGGGTCTCCATGTCCCTGTTCTCGTACAGCATTGTGTTGGCGCAGATGAAGATGAAGAGCCCAATGCCCATGATGACAGGGCCGATCAGCTTCAGCTTCTCACTGTGGGACACGTGGCGCCCGGCTGCCACCTCCCTCCTCATGTCGCCCACCACACTGGTGTTCCCCGCGCTGGCCCCGGTGCCCCCATGTCCCCGGTGAGGCCAGTAGCCCACCACGGCAATGGTCATGCCCACCAGGACCACTGAGATGCCCACCATGACAAAGGCTCCCGCGGGTGAGCGCATGCGGAGCTGCCCTTTCAGCGGGGGCTCCGTTGGGGGCTTGCGCCGCAGGCGGCGGCTCCGGCGCCGTGAGGGGACGGGCGGCGCCGGCACCTTGGGCCCCCCCTGCTCCGGTTCCCGCATGGGCCCCTTGGACTCGGCACTCTCCGCAGTCATCGTCTGTGGCTCAGCCGCAATTCCTGCACGATGGGAGAAGAAAAAGGTGAGCGGGCATCACTGGGGGTCTTTGTGCCCAGGATGCTGGAGCATGGGCACCACAGGGACACTGGGAGCATGGGGATGCCAGGAGCACAAGGACACCGAGCCCACAGTTACACCAGGCAGGGACCAGCAGCTCTGCTCTGCCCCATTGCTCCTCTCTTTCCTCAAGTCACTTCTCTCTCCCCACTCAAGAGTGAAGGGATGAGGAGTCTCTTCCAACCACACTCCCAAAGGCCCCAAACTCATCCCTCTAAATCCCCGAGCTGTGCAGAAAGTGAGGACAGCTGGGACCCTGCTGTGCCACACCCAGCATAGAGCCATCACTGGCATCGAAGCCTAAGGGACCTGTCCTGGGTCACCCAATCCTGCGACACCAGGAGAAGGTGCCACCACCAGTCTGCCACAGCAGCAGTGAGGGAAGGGGCTATTTATTCATCTGCTGGGGAAACTGAGGCACCTGGAAACTCAAATGAAAGGTCTGACACAGCCGCATCACTCAGAACCCTGTGAGTGATGATCCAAGCAGGACCTAAAAACCTAAACCAACATCAAGCCACTCATCAGACGGCAGGACCCCCAATCGATGGAGAATTTAAGCTAAAAGAGATGTTTTTCCCAATTTTCTGCTATCTCCTATTTCCTCTGACCTGCATCCTCAGGATCCTAACCACACAAACCAACATAAAACTCCACATCTAGGGATTTACAGTGCATGGTATGTTATTTTATCCAAAACTTTATTTCCTAGATGAGCAAAAAAGGTGTGGAAGCTGCTGCCCAACACAGCGGGTGACTAGCCTGCAGCAAGCATCGGCTGGGCTGGCACCATTCTGCCTGGGATAAATGGAACCCTGGGAAACTAAAACAGGCCTTGAACAAATCCCAGACCAAAAACATCTTTAAAAAACGATGAATAAGCTCATGCTGACAGGAATCTGTGTCCTTGCAGTGCGGTGCTGCGTGCCCAGCCATGGCTGGCAGTGGGGCTGGGACGCGACGAGGTGTCCATGAACCCTTCTGTGTCTCCTGGCACTGCCAGCATGGGAATGCTGCCCAGGCCATTCCCAAAGGAACATCCCAAAAGGGATGTGAGCAGGGAGAGCTGCAGGGCGGCCCCGAGCCAAAGGATGCTGTGGGAGGGGGCTTGTCATCCCACCGCATCTTAAACTGTCAAGAAAAGCATTTGGACAACACAGAATCATGGATATTCAGCAAATCAAATCCAGAAACTAAATCCAAGGAGGGCTCTACAGGAGGAGAGAGGTGACCACTCCAATTTTGCTCCAAGATGAATGAAGTGCTGAGAGCCAGTGACCAGCATCCAAAAAGCAGAAAGATACCACATTTTTTTCCACAGTTAATCATCTTAAGGTGTTATTAGCATCAGAGAGAAGGAATTAAAGATATGAGTTCCAGGATGACAGCTTGTTCCTGGCACAAGGCTGTCAAGCTGTGACAACTCGAGTAAGAGAGATTTAAAGGGAAAAAAAAAATAAAGTCCCAAACAAACCAGACCAAACCCCAGGCCACTACTAAGTGGGGTGTTAAGGCTTTCTGAAAAATAAATTGATAATCCCACATGGCAAAGGGAGAAACACAATTAACCCAAAGTAGTGTTCATCCTGAAAAATGAGGCTTTAAATACTTTGGTATTAAAGGGAAACAACTGGACACTTGAACACATCCCAGAGACTGTGGGCTTTTTGCCTCCAAATGCCCTGATTTAGGTTATGTCTCAATTTTCTCTAATTGCCATTTTAGCTTCAAGCTCTCTTAATTTTTATAGCAAACCCTTTAAATGCCTTGCTGACTACTTAGGGATTAAAAATGAACCCCTACATTGCAAGATAAAGCTCTTGGACAGTGACTGGGGGGAACATGAGCCCCACAGTTCCTGACTCCAATCTCACACTGAACACACATCAGGCATCCTCTGTTTTATTCTGGAGCCCCAGCTATGTCTCTAACCCTAGTTCCTCTAACCTCTCTGACCCACTCTGTGGAAGATCACTGTCCACAGGGACCAGGAGCATCCCTGGTGTCCCACCTGTGGTGACAAAGAGCATCCCATGGGGACAACAAGCTGGGGTCCTGCCTGTGAGGACCATGAGCATTCCCTGGATCCCATCCAGGGCAATGCTTTGGGTCCAGGTGATATTCACCTGGGCTGCACCAGGCTGCTCTTGACTTTTGCACTGGATACAGTCTGGGGGTCATCTCAGGCTGCTTGGGAATGGGTGCACTATGATGAGAGGTGCCCACCTACCTCACATCCACAGTGTCCAGACCACGCTGGGGCTGAAACAATCCCCTTCCCACCTCCCTTCCTCTTCCCTGGGCACAGGGATGGAGGTGCTGGCAGGAGGGACAGGCAGATGCCACCAATCTGGCTGCAGGCAGGGAATCCCCTCTGTAGTCCTGGCCACTATTCCTGCCCAGAGAGCCTGTCCCATATCTCCCCACTGCTGTGTTCTGAACTTGGAGCATTTCCTTGCTCATTGCTGGGGCTGGTTGTTCCCAGAGTTCAAAACCATTATTTTTATTAATAGAATCCCCAAGGTTATATAACCCTTTTAGAAGAAAGAAATATTAAAAAAATACAAAACCCAGCGTTGCCATCCCCTCCTGCACCTCCTGCGAATGGATTAATCCATTCCACAATTCTATCAGTTCCCACGTTAGAGCAGCAGGGTCAGACACAGCACAGGAATGGGGCTCCTGGGGGTGCTGCTGAGGCACGGGGACAGCCTGGTCCCGTGCTGGGGACTGGCAGTGGCTTGGCATTCCTGGCCACCTCTGGCCAGCCTGGAGGCATTTGTGGCTCACCAGGACCATCTCTGAGGTTTCGATTCTGGAGGCAAGGAATGACAGTATGGAACTGTAAATGTCGTTCTGCAGCGGGATGAGCGCTGCTCTGCTGCCAGGTTAAGCTCCCAGTCCCTGCAATAAGCCTGACATTAAAATAAACCCAAATATTTCTCTAATCCCCCCCATCACGAAGGCACATTGCTGGCTCCACCCTCCCACCTCAATCCTCTCCCACCGCCTTCGCAGACTGATGCTCTTAAAATTTGACACTAAATCCCAATGCATCTGACAGCAGCATAGCTGGGTGATGGTAAAGCAGAACTGCAAATCTCACATCCACTGGGTGTCTCTGGGATGCTCTGCCCCTGCCATGACCACACTGCCAGCTTGAATCTGCAGCATCAAAGGCTATCAAAATGCAGAAATGGCCTCCAAATCTCCCTCTGGATGAGGGGCTGTACCGGTGTCTGGAAGTGCCACTCCAGTCTTGTGCCACAGGAGGTGCCACCCAGCTCAGTGATGGGTTGGAGATGCAGAAATGCCATATGGAAAAGGGGCAAGTGCAGGCAGCTTTGAGGGCCTTCCCCCCGCAGATTTAACCCTCTCGCCTGTTATCCGTCCAGGAGCTTTTTATTTTCCTTGGGTCACACCTAGAAAGGGCTTCACTGCAGGACAGCGCCCTCCACACAGAAGGGAATTAAAACCCAGCATCTCCCTAGGGAGAGTGTTCCCATTGCTGCCATGCCCCATCCCAGTCTGCACTGCCCAACTGCGGGGCTTGATCCCATCCTGCACCCAGGATCCCACCCTGGACACAGGATCCCATCCTGTGGGTGCTGTGCAGGGCATCACCCCAGGAGCTGGCACAGGAGCAGCCCCAGATGTAATGGGCACCCAAGAAAAGCCCAACAAACAGAAAACACCTCTATTTTCCTTTTCTTTTCCTAAAGTACTGTGACTTTAAAGATGCTCTCCTGATTTGGGGAATAAACTGGTTTTGCAATTTGCTGCTGAATCAGCCAGCAAAGCCTGCAGAGTGTCTAAAGGCCACAGTGATGGGCAAGACCCCAAACCAGCATGCACAGCCCAGCCTCCTCTGCCTCATCCAAGCCCTGGGGAGCCTGTGACATCCAAGCCTGTGGTGGCTGAGCTACCTCAAATCCCTCTCTACAAAGAAAGGGGACCCAGGCATCCAAGACCTGGGTATGAGGCTGTGTCGAGCTGCTGGAGTCCCCCCAGCTCTCCCACTCACTGGGAAGGTACGGAGAATGGGAATGACAGTCTGCGCTGAGATGTGATGCTTAAAAATAACTCCTTTTCAGCCCAGCCTCCAACGCCGCCCCCAGCACGGGCAGGAGGGGACCACAGGAGTAGCACCCAGTCACCAGCTCCTTGCCCATCCCATCTCCCATCTTGGCTGCAGAAGACTGAAGCCAAGGCCAGCAGGGGAACAGCAGTGATCCCAGCGCACGGTGCATCCCTCATGCTGGATACTTGGGGTGGTCTGAGCCCTCATATCCCCATCTGAGCAGTGTCTCCTCCTTTCCTGGTTTTCTCAGTTCGTTTCAAGTTCCCTCCTTGGCTATACATAAAGGTATCCAGAGAGGGGGAACAAGAAAAATCTGCCAGACATTTCTGGGGGTCTCCCAGCTGGAGCAAACCCTGCCATCGCCCCAGCACTCACTGCCAGCTCCCAGTTCAGAGCCTCCCCCAGGCTCATTCCGAAGGAATAAAACCTCCCTGTGAGAAACTGACACAAGCATGTTCCCAATGCTGTGAAAAAATCCGCAGGTCCAGCTCCTGCTTCAGCTGGGGACACCCATTAATCACCCATAATTAATTACGTTCCCTCATAGAAACTTCCACATAAACTCAGCAATGCTAATTACCATAGCATGGGAAGGATTATCCCCTTCCCAGCAGGTCCTGGACTGGGAGTCTCACTGGGGTTGTGACAGATTTTCACCTTTGCTGCAGCATAGAAGACCCCAGAAGTGACAACCCAAAGTTCAGAAGTGCCCTTTATTCCTCTCTCCCCAGTAGCAGAGACCTCGGTTTTCCCAGGTGAAGAATGGGATGGAAGAGGGGTTAACACAAAACCACCTCCACAAAGGTCCTATCAACAGGGGCATCACCCCCACACCTGG